CCATAGATAGGTCTCCTATATCTATGGTTAAACCCAATAGTTATGATAAATGATAATATTATATCAGCAAAAATATTTCAAAGTTCAAACACTGTGTCATAATTCCATTTAATTAAGTTATTTTCAAGCATCAATAATTAATTGTCAACATAATTTTTTATGACTCAACTAATAAATAAATTAAATACATATAACCATGGAACTGTTTGTATGAATGTAATGCAATGCATAATACAGTGCCGTAGCCAGAATGATAATTGGGGGGGGGGGCACATATTCATATATTCGTGTTCACATACCATAAAAACAATTGATTTCAAAAGAAATTAATAAAGCAGAACACGAATATATGAATATGTGCCCCCCCCCCCAATTATCGTTCTGGCTACGGCACTGGCACAATGTTAAATCAAAGGACAAAGGAATGATATAGCTAGAGACCTAGAGTATTAACAGAGGGAAGTATTTTCATGATTATTTTAAATATCAATACAATGCACCAATTAAAGCATCACTATGTAATTGTAATAAACAAAATAGGCTAACAGGTCCACAGTTGCCCATAAAACATTCTACATATTTTAATATTATAAAAAATATCTAATAGTTTGTAATAATCTAGATCCTCTATAAAACCTCTGTCAGTGGCCTTCTTGCGAAGTCTCTCGATACCATTTCTTGACCGTATAAAATCCATAAAAATGATTAGTTTATATACACCGCATATATATTTACTCTGTAACTTTTAGCACAAGAAAATGAATCTTTTTCAATTGATTTCAATGTAAAAAGTATCAAATTTTCTACTGAATTCTACGATTTTATTTATGATTGCAACTGATGACGCCCGCACGAATTCAGTGTTGCGGTTTGAGCTTGAGCATGCGCACAACTAACCGGATATCCAAAATTGGATATGAATAGTTTGTTTAATAAAAACATCATCTGGCAGTCAGAAGACTGAATTACATGACGTTAAGTGTTACAAGGTTATAAATAGTAAAAAATTCTATATTACAATGCAATTTAAAAATTGTTAATATATACTATATATCATATACTTAAATGTACTAATCTATATGAGTTAAAAATTCTAAAATGTTCAAGGAACATCTAATTTGTAATGTTTCTTAGCATAAAAGTTGATAAAAGAGTTTCCGAAACGATTTGTATTTGCTGGTAAAACTTCAAAAGATCTTTCTTTTCGTAATTCTCTATTGCCTGCTTTGGATGGTAAAAGTTTGGCAAGTTTATGATCATCATTTAAAACAATGTCGTTGAAGAGATTATTGGATAGATACTCCCGTCTGTTTTCAAGAGTGGAAATACCAGCGATGTTAAGAGCCTCGTCGTAAGACAATTCATAGAATATTATTTTCATTGCTCGCTTCTGTATACGTTCAATGTTTTTTGCAAGATTTCGTGGCAGGGAACTATGGAATAATTGGCACGCATATTCGAGGACAGACCTTATACAGCTGCAAAAAAATTTGACCAAATCTGCCGAAGCGACATCAGCACGTTTGAGTTGCCTCAACAAATATAAACGTTTAGCTGCTTTGGAGACAATTGAATTTACATGGTCTATCCATTTAAGGTCATTTCTTAATATAACTCCAAGCGATTTGATACTTGTCACTCTTTCCAAATTTCGGTCACCAATACGTATAGGTTCAAAAACAGGTGGTAATCGTGAAAAGGATATTACCATTTCTTTGCATTTAAATGGGTTTAGTTGAAAGGAATTGTCCATAGACCAAGTAGTAATATCATCGATATCCATTTGTAAAGTACTTTGTTCGTTTTTTCAACAATTTCAGAGACCGTAGTATCGTCGGCAAATTTCCACATTTCTGAAAGGTGATTATGTAACACAAGGTCATTTATCATGGCTAAGAATAGCCAAGGCCCAAGTCGTGTGCCTTGAGGGACACCAGCTGGAACTTGGAGCCAGTCTGAGAAACAATTATCACTTAGTTTGACCCTTTGCCATCTATTACGTAAAAAGTCAATAATCCAGTTAACCACACAGGGCTTAATACCAAGGCTGAATAATTTCGCAACTAATGTGGTGTGATCTACCATGTCAAATGCTTTTTTATAGTCAAGAAATACAGTGCGAACAGATGAACCACTTCCATCTGTTGCACTCAACCAACAATGGAGCATCGATATCAAGGCAAGTACAGTGGAAGAATTTGGAATAAAGCCAAATTGTTGGGGATCAACAACCTTAACAGAGTTGGTTTTACTTCTCTTTCGATTACAAGACGTTCCGCTATCTTTGATAGAGTGGAAGTTAAAGAAGATTGGCAACAAAAATTGCTTCATCTATCTTATTGCTTCATCTGAAAGAGCATGAAAAAATAAGCCGATTGGCCGTTTAATGCTCTATTCTATCTCATCTAGTTCCGAAGTTATACGCAAAAATGTGAAAATATAAATTGCTGATTCAGCACAACGTGTGACGTCATTAGCTGGGTAAGTATGTTTATTGAATACTACACTGAAGCATAGCTCAGTTATTATGGGCCCAAATCAAATGAAATTTTGCATACTGATTGTACATGATGAGACGCATGGAAAAACACTTCTAATTTTGTTGCCAAGGTAACAATGTCGTTTCCAGGCCCCTTGCGCCAATTTTATGAAACAGCTTTATTCAAGGTACTGATAAGAATAGAATAATATCAGAAGTATGTGTATGATACCTATACATGCCAAAAGTTTACTTGCATGATAATAATTCGAAAATGACATACACATAGATAAATGCAACTAGTTATTCAAAATCAGTGTAAGAGGCCTGGGAACGACTGTGTTGCCTTGACAACGAAATTAGAAGTATTTTTCCCATGCATCTCATCATGTACTATCTGTATGCAAAATTTCATTTGATTTGAGCTAATAATAACTCAGCTATGCTTTAGTTTACTATTCAATAAACATACTTACCCAGCTTATGACGTCACAGAATGTGCTGAATCAGCAATTTATATTTTGCACATTTTTGCGTATAACTTCGGGACCAGATGAGATAGAATAGAGCAGTAAACGGCCAATCGGCTTATTTTTTCATGCTCCTTCAGATGAAGCAATAAAATCAATAAAGTTTTTTGTTGCCAATACCCTTTAAGAAAATAGGTCGTAATTCCCTTTCCAAGTCTTTGACAGTAGATGTTTTTGGTAAGGGGACCACATCGGCCAGCTTCCAAATTTGAGGGACTTTACAGCTTTGAAAGGAAGAATTGATTATATTTGCAACTGGTGAGGCGAGAATATCCGAATAGGTTTTTTAAAACCCAATTGGAAATACCGTCAGGGCCACTGGAACGCGATGTATTAATTTCTTGCAATTTTCTAGCTATAGTTGACTCGGTCACAATAATAGGCGTTTCATCGTTGTGTACAATTACAGCCGTATCTTCAGATAATGGAACATAGTTCTGTATCACATTTATAAAACATTGTTAATTTTATTACTGAGGTTTATGTCTGTCTCCTGCCATAAATCTTGATGGAGGCGGTCTTTTACACTTTTGTTGTTTAGTTTAGATGTGCCACACAACTGCTTCACTTCCCGCCACCAATCTCGGGGGTTAGTGTTACGTAAATTATGAACTTTAGATTGATAATAGCTCTTACGACAACGTTTTCGTTCACGATTAACTTTATTACGTAACATTTTAAAAAGAGTGACATTACCAGATGCAAAGGCTTTTTGTCGACGATTTATCAGTGATTTCAGATTGCTATTAACCCATGGTCGATCATTAGGGTGGACTTTTATTGAACGTTCAGGCATAATTAAGTTCAAACCATAGTTTATAATGCTAGTTAAAAAGTATAGTTTTTGATCATTTGAGGGTATGGACGATAAAATGTCCCATGGAATTTCCTGGAGAAATCGACCAAGACTTCTAATATTACTGGGTCGCTTATCTCTTGTTTTAACAATACGCGATTGTGGTTCGTGCGATCTTTTCCTCGTTCCAGGACACATGGCAATTGTTAGATGGTCTGATAAGCCAAATGGAGGAGCACTAGTAGGAGGTGAATAGTATTCAAATAGATTGGTATAAATTTGGTCAAGAATATTGGCACCTCTGGTGGGAAAATCAATTACTGGTTTTAGTTGAAAAGGTTTAACAGTAGCCTGTAAGTCCAATTTGTTGAAATCACCAGCAATAATGATTGCAGGGTTAGGAATTGAAGATTCAATATATTCTAATGAAGATTGGACATAGTCACGCATACTTGTACAATCGGCATCTGGAGGGTGGTACACAACAGCTATTATCATATTTGAGTAATTTCGTGGGAGTCGTTTTGGTTGTAAAGCTAGCCACAATACTTCGTGATTATCACTATCTAACTCCGTTAGGCGGTTGCAAGAAATGGTATTGTTAATATAAAAACAAACCCCACCATGGGATTTGTGTTGACGATCACGCCTGAATAATTGGTAATTTGTAATATTAATAGCTTCATCTGGAACGGATTCTTTTAACCATGTTTCGCTGAAAAAGGCAATATCTATATGATTCGAAGTAAGAAATACAGCAATTTCATCGATTTTCGGGGCTAGCGACATAGTGTTTGACAATAATATAGCAGGTACAAAATGCGACGAACAAGACACGGTTTTACTATTAACTTCGGGGTTCACAGATACATGAATTAAATTGCTTGACTTGATTCTCTTACGACAGATGAGGTTTGGGTTGACATTTTCCTGGTTATTATTATATAAACAATGTTCAAGTAAGCTTTCCAATTCACTTTCCATCCCGGAAGACGATTTACCCCCGGCCTCGTCTAATAATAATATTTGTAAAAGTTCATTTTGTCTCTCAACATTGTACGTGCACGAAAATCCTTTCCCGAATTTTTGTTACGTTTATTATGTTTCCTAGATGGTTTTCGCTGGGTGATGCGGGTTGGAATAGATTGATAATTATTCATAGGAGTTGTATCATCTGTAATAATTCCACTATTACTGGGATTAATTACTGTGAGATCTAGACAATGGGGACTACATTCATTATGTTGGCCATGGTAGTGTAAGTATCTTTTGTTAGTATTAGATTGACAAATCTCCACACATTCCTTCTCAATTCTTTGGCTAGTATTTAATTGATCCTGAATGCCTTGTGGATTGTGGTGCAGATCATGACATGGGTTCTTTAAAATTGGTGTATTATATGAACAACTCTTAACATTTGACTTGGAATGACTAGGCAAATACTTTCCTACTAAGGTTTCGACTATACTGTCCGTATTATTCTGCTTTTCGATTATATTGTCCGTATTATTCTGCTCAGGTTCGTCCGAAAAATACAAGCAAGTAGGTGTAATCACAGACGCAATAGGGCTATTATAATTCGTACATTGTACAACACATTCAGCCGATGTATTATTGGGAGATTTACTTAGTTGATCCAACGGTATAGATTTTGCATCGGTTGTTGATGCTTCTAATTTCGCCAAGGTTTCCTGCAAACTAACAGGGGCGTAGCCAAGGGGGGGCGGTCGCCCCCCCAATCGCAAAAAAACTATTCTCTGAAAAAGGCTAAATCCGTAGAGAAATGGGGGGGGGTACACGTTACATCCTCGAAGCTGAAACGGATTAAGTACGTCTCGACTGAGGAAAACGACGAAATACTGGAAGAACTTGATTTCTAAAATCTCGTTAAAACAGTTGTAAATATGGTTCCAAGAGGAAAATTCAATCAACAGTCGGGCAATTTTGGTATGCAATAAAAAGAAATGGAACAAATTCTGTTCATTTTGTCTAAAATTAAGTGAATTTTTAGGCAAATTTTTTGTGAATTTTCGAAAAT